ATTTGTTTGACATTTTCACCCATTGAGGGATATAAATTTGGTGGGGTATAGAAATTGCTACATGGCTTCACTTGATTGGTTTCTTCTTCAAGTAATTCAAATGTTTTGAGCTTCCTTAATTCTAAGTTTTTGGTATTTGATGTGCATAAAAAATCACTTTGGTTGGGTAGTTACTTTATAAAAATAAAATTGGACATGTTCCAAATGTAACTTGTACCAATAGGAGTTTGATAGAAAAAGCATTGTTAGTAGGTCACCTTTATTATAAGTGGCCATTGTTGAGAAATCATACACACACAATGCAATTTTTAAATTATATATTATGTATTTATTTTGAATGCAAAATTATGTGCATATGTTTAACCAAACAATATATACACATAAGTGTATATAATATATTCATAATTGTTTTAGGTAATTGCCTAGCATGTAAATATGCAATTACATACACAACAATCATACATACATGTAATTATGAGTGATATATATAATTTAATCAATTATTTCATACTTTAACAATTAAAAACATCAATTTAAAATTATTTTTGCAAATCTAAACATTAATGTAAAACCCCACCACATATAGCTAGGTGGCATCTATTGATTCGAAAAAATATAAAATAAAAAATAAAAATAATAGCCCACCTAAAACACTAATTAAAAATAAAAAAGTATCCTAGTCACAACTCATGACTCATCATTCTATGGCACCTAACCCTATAGACAAGGGACCTCTCTCAATAGCGTCAAGACACGTCTTCCATATTTTATATATCTACCCCTACCACCGCCACCTGGCCGACCACCGCCCACCTGCCGCCGTCGTTGAGCACCTGCCGCCGGCCAAATTTTAACTCTCACAATGGCCTCTGATATTGAACAATTTTTTTCAAAATGCATTGCAATATTTATTTTTCTTTTTGGGGGATCCAATAGCTTATATAATATATGCATCCATAGAAATCAATAAAGTGGACACTAGGACTGCAAACTAGTTGAGCCAAGTCGATCATTGAACTCGACAGAAAACACAAACGCTTGAGATATGCTCGAAGTCATCGTCTTGAATTTATTACTTCAAGTTCGGCTCGAAATTTTTAATTAAAAGATGTCTAGTTAGGTGTATTTATGTAATTTTACATATATTCGAGCAACTCATCAAGCGCATAGAGCATACAAACTACGTATAGGGAGCGAGCTCGAGTTCGATTCAGGTTCTGATTCGAGGGCTTCTTGTGGCCCTCACAGTTACTGAATCACAATATAACAATTTGAAAAAAAAAAAAAATACACATACACACACACACACACACTAGGTTTTTATTCCAAAATTTGATGATATTTGAAAAAAAAAATAAAAAAAAAAAGAGAAGAAGAATATGTGTGCTAGTGTGTGTATATAATATATGTATATATATCATTTCAATTTCCCTCCACTCCTTCAATAATTTTTATAGAAAAGTATAAAAAGAAAAGAGAGAAAAAAATGTAAATATTATGACTTGATCATGTAACATTTCAAGAGAACAATTATATTAAAAACTGCAAGTATGACTTTGAATTATTATTATCATTATTATTATATTATTATATTATTCCTAAATAACTCCTTTCCGAAATTTTCTACACGCACACCAAACTCAAAGGCGGTCAAAGGTCAAATATTTCCATTTTCCCCATCAAATCACACAATTAATCAACTTCCGTTCATTAAAATTCCTCCACCGGCAAGGCTTTGCGTGCATGCATGGCGGAGCCACCGCGTTCCGCCGCTGCCACAACATTTTCCCATGCAGCTTGCCAACTCGTATCAATTTGATTAATCAAACAGAATATATACCCAAAGAGGAAAAAGAAAGAAAAAGGGACATAAATTCTCGAACATGTCGAATTTCGACCAGAATTACTCGCAAGAAGGCAAGATCGTTATTTCGGCAGCTGTGGCAATCGACAAGGACAAAAATAGCCAATTCGCCGTTAAATGGGCCATCGACAAACTGAGGTTGAAGGATAAACGGATCATCCTCGTACATGTTAGAACAAATTACAGTTTTGATTCAGGTGGTTCTTGTTAAAATTTCCTTTTTTCTTTTTTCTTTTTTCAATTTTATTTCAGATTCAATTTATTTATTTTTTTTTTATTTTTTTTTTTTTTTGGTGTTATGCAGCTGTTCCTAAAGAGGGTCGAGAACCTACACAAGCTGAAACACAACAGTTGTTTCTACCTTACCGCAGTTTTTGTGCTCGAAAAGGGGTAATTAATATATATATATGTACGAATATTTATTAGAAGTTATGATCGTCTGTCTGATGGTTAGAGTTGCCTAACAACAGTCTTATCTAAGATCAAAACTTCCTTCTCATGTATTGAGTTGTTATTAGATTCGTGCAACTGAGGTGATTCTTCAAGATCATGACGTGGCAAGGGGACTTGCCGAATATATCAGCATGAACTCCATCACGACAATCGTGCTTGGAGCCTCAAGCCGAGCTGCCATATTGAGGTATACATATATATATGGCCTGCGATTTTCACATCAAGCCACAAATTTTTCGCACTCGTTTTTGTAAAATATTTGAGCCTTTTTGTGACTTTGTGTAATATAATGCTACATTTCTTGTGTTCTCCTTACTTAAGAAACTAGATGCAGATATAGCGAAAGTTATGAGAAGGGAGTGTTAAAAAGGGCTGCTCTTCTTTTTTGTAAGAAGTTATTCGCAACGGCCGAAAATTAAGAGTTCGTCGTACAAAGTGAATGTTTTTTTAATAGCTAAATGTTGAGAATCATTTTTATTTTGTTTTGTTTCCTACAGAGCATTTAAGAATGCAGATGTTCCGAGTTCAGTAGCGAGATGCGCACCGGATTCTTGCACAGTGTATGCAGTGTCGAAGGGCAAAGTCGTAAAACTCAAATCCGGTAGTCAACCAGAGACTCCGAGCAGCTCGACAAGTTCCGTACCCCGGAATGCGTTGTTCTCACCTGCCGATAATTCAAGCCAATCGAGTTATTACCCGTAAGAACGTTTATAAAAAAATCATGATATTAACCGGAGTGAAAAGTCTAACATAATCACAATTAGGAGATCGCATAATAGTATACGAGGTGACCTGCGGCATAGGGCTGCAAACGAATCCGAGCGGCTCGCGACCGAACTCAAGTCGAGCTCGAGCAGCTCGCGTATGTTATTGAGTCGATCTCGAGCATAGGTTTTGGAAGGTCGAGCCGCTCCCAAGCGGCTCAATATACGTACTGAACTACTGAAATACCCCTTATTTATAAATATTACAATATTTTATATATGTACTTAATGGTAATTGTACTTGAAATTCGAGTCGAACTCGAGCAGAGCTCGAGCAATCCTTCTAGCATTTTGATTTCAATCGATCTCGAGCGATTCTCTTCTTTTGTCGAATCGAACCGAGCTTCATAAATCGAGCTCGAGCGAAAAAAAAAAAAAATCAATCTTGCTCGACTCGGCTCGACTCGTTTGCAGCTCTATATCCGCCTACGATTAAGCTGAACTACATGAGTAGAACTAACCTGGATTTTCCTTAATTTCCAAATATACGAATCACAGGCCGGAGAGCTGGAAAAGCCCGAACTCCGAGGTATCATCCTTTGACATCGGAAACCAATCGAGACAATCGCCAGATGGCGCCAAAAACATGATTCCTCTCTACTCGGGAACAAATACTATCAGCCGAGAATACCACCAAAACCAAACACCTCAAAAGGAAAGATCGTACGGCAGTAAATCGACTGCAGTCCAAAACGCGGCCAACAGCGAAGAATCGGAAAAACACAGCAACACAAAATACTCAACGCCTTATGACTCGGATAACACGAGCTACGGAGGCTCGACTTCTTACTACAGCAACTACAGCTCGTCGCCCGTAAACTCAAAACCCGGTGAATCTGATTTTGGACACATGGCAAACAGGCAGGCAAACAACAGCAAGATCTCGAATTTAATGCAGTCCTTGAACAACATGAGCCTTGAGGTTCGGACGAGAGGGAGCCCCGGTTACTCGATGTCTGAGTCGAGCGATGTTTCGGAAGGGATGAGTTTCCCTTCGGATGTCTCGTTTGAGGTTATGGATCATCACCGGGTTTCGGATTCTTCCAGGAGCTCGACATCCTCACAAACCGCGGTAAGTACTTGCCAAAAAAAAAAAAACTTTGGTCCCATAATTTAGTATTTGATCCCATAAAAACTTGTTTCTTCATTTTCTGCTGAATCTTATAGCATTGGGAACAATTTTTTGCAAATTATAGGCCAAAAAGTGAAATATTATACCTCACCACATAAAACCTTTAATCACCTTCATCTTTTAACTATACAGCAAACATATACACACCAGGAAATAGATGATGAGCTGAGGAGACTGAAGCAAGATCTGTATCAAATCACAATGAAGTACAACTTCGCAAATCAAGAAGCAGCAACAGCTAGAGACAAGGTACACACACGATTATAGACATTAAGTACATATATATTCTTCACGAAAATGATAAACCGAATCATTGTGATGTCAAATTTAGGTCAGAGGCCTCGTCCAATCGAAACTCGATGAAGGAAGCAAACTGGACGAGGCAAGGCAAGCCCACGAGGCTGCACTGGCTATTGTTGAGCGAGAGAAGCTGATGTGTAAAGCAGCAGTCGAGGTGGCTCACAAAGCACAGCGTATAGCCGAGCTCGAGTCAGAGAAAAGAAAGCATGCAGAATTAAAATATAAACAAGAATCCGAAGAGAAACAGAAGGCGATTGATGCATTAGCACGCAGTGAGATTCGGTACAGAAGGTACACGATGGAAGAGATTGAGATCGCAACAGATTATTTCTCGGTCGCGAATAAGATTGGAGAAGGTGGGTATGGACCCGTGTTCAAGGCCACACTGGATCACACCCCAGTTGCCATCAAGGTCCTGAGGCCGGATATCTCGCAGGGCGAGCAGCAGTTTCAAAAAGAGGTGATTTTTTTTTTTTTTTCGTGTTCTGTGGCTTAAATGCAGACATCATTAAATGCTTCACAATACTACATCAATCAACTCAAAATAATCGAGCCCCCAATTTTCTATCTACCTGTTAACATTTAGAAAGAGTGAGGGATGTGAAAAAATGTAAAAATGCCAGGCTAGAAGTTAAGGTTTCGATAATACTTAGCTCCAACTCCACCGAAAGCGTCCGAAAATTCGCATCTAGCAAACTGCAACAACATATGATTATTTCAAACTTTTACGTTAAAAAAAAGGAAAACTTTTATACTTAGCAAGGACAAGTAGCACCTTCAACATAGTTCATATATAACTAATCAACATCTAGGCTATGTTTGGTAAACTTAGCTGTAGCTTATGATTTATGGCTGAAAAACTAGCTAATATAATAAAAGTGTTTGGCAAAATTAGCTGATAAGCTAACTAAAATAAAAATTTCAATGAGCTTATTTGAAAAGCTGCCCAAGGAAGCTTATGAGATAAGCTAGAGCTTTTTTATCCTATCAAACCAAGCTTATTTAAATACAAGAAGCTTATAAACTAATAAAATAAGATATAAGCTAGCTTATATGCTTACCAAATATATCCCTTATATCACATATACACGCCATCTTCCATAAAGTAACTTTCTGGTTGGTCTCGGAAAGACTTTCCAATTACTATCTATCTTATCTCCAAAATAATTGGAGATACACATACAAAAGAAAAGTTATTTTATCATTCAAATTCACACTAATAATAAAGCCAAAAAAAAACCAATCTCAGCATGTATACCTTCTCCGTGCAGGTCGAAGTCCTTAGCCGAATGCGCCACCCGAACATGGTAGTCCTCCTTGGCGCCTGCCCCGAGTACGGAAGCCTCGTTTATGAGTACATGGAAAACGGATCCCTCGAGGACCGTCTCCACCGCAAAAACGGGTCTCCTCCCCTCTCTTGGCCCGCCCGTTTCAGAATCGCCGCCGAAATAGCCACAGCCCTCAACTTCCTCCACAGCACCCGACCCGAGCCCCTCGTCCACCGCGACCTCAAGCCCGGGAACATCCTTCTCGACCGGAACTTCGTCAGCAAGATTAGTGACGTCGGCCTCTGCCGACTCGTCCCGCCACCTGTCGCTGACAGCATCACTCAGTGCCACATGACTGCAGCTGCCGGAACATTCTGCTATATCGATCCCGAGTATCAGCAAACGGGCATGCTCGGGACGAAATCCGATGTGTATTCGTTTGGAGTTATGCTGCTGCAAATCCTCACGGCTCGGCCAGCAATGGGCCTTTCGCACTATGTCGAGACAGCAATCGAGTCGGGGAGATTTTGGGAAGCGCTCGATCAAGCGGTTGGGGACTGGCCGGTCGAGGACGCCCTCTCGCTGGCTAAGCTGGCTCTGAAGTGCTGTGAGCTGAGGAGGAGGGATAGGCCTGATCTTAACTCAGTTATCCTGACCGAGCTCGAGAGGTTGAGGGACTTGGGTTCGGAGGTGTCCCGTGGGGGGAGCTTTTGCTATGTGCATTTGCAAGGTGGGGTTAGCTCGAAGGAGAGCAGCTCGTCTGAAAGTCAGGCAAATCAGGAGAGGTTTTACAATATGAACTCATATTCGAGTCAGGTGAAACGATTTTTTTTTTGGTTTCCTTTTTTTGTTACCTCTAGTTTTTCCGTTTTAACTGGATAACAACCGTATGCAACAATTTTTACAGTTTCTATACTGCATTGAACTTTTTAACATCAAATATTACGTCCCTATTTAAATCAAACTCTCAGTTTTTCATCGTGTTTCTTTCAAAAAGATCTTCATCACTATTACTACCAAGAACTTAAAAATAGTTTCTATCTAATCCCAACTTAAGTGTCATCACCAATGGCATTACTCTCAATAGTACAGTATTTTAATATAACGCGACAATTTTCTTGTTTAAGCAGGAAACTAGAGATAGCAGTTCGGGGAAACTCGAAGGGCAAAGCAAAAATGCATCTGGAAGTGGGAACAACTAGAGTACAACACTAGAAAACATGGAATAGGTCATATAACATTCACGATTAAGAGCAAGGAGAAAGTGGATGAGTACTTTTGGATATGCCTTCCCATGTGAGACTCAGAACACACGTTTTAACTAAATAAAACATTTCTTGATCCACACAGATGATGTTTTTTTTTTTTTCCCAACAATGTATGAGCTTATTACACTCTTGTAATCCTTCAACTTATGCCCTCTTATGATGCCGTTGTGTCGAAAAAGGATGTCAATGTTTGTTTCGGCATTGAAGATTCAATAATTCAAAACTATTTCGTAGTATTTCGATGATTGTCCTTCTTACTTCTTTGTCAAACATTCTGGGTAATCATTGAATTTTGATGAGCACACGTGAACGAATGTGGATAGCAAAAGACAGATTGTGAAATAGAGATAACCCGAACAGAGTAATGCGAAGATATGCATCCTTTCAAATTGAAATATCACTTTCATAACAAGGCAAATATACATTTATGTTGAAAACAAGGCAAGACGAGTCGACCCGCCTCATGGTTAGGCCTCTCAAACAAGAATTTGTGACTAAAATCAAATAAAAATAAGATCTTTACCTCTAAAAGCACTTCCATTTGCAGATTTTCTTCACATTTATCATGGTTAGGCCTCTCAAACAAGAACGTGTGACTAAAATCAAATAAAAATAAAATCTTTACCTCTAAAAGCACTTCCATTTGCAGGTTTTTCACCTTTACCAGCATTAGCAAGATATTCTTACCCAAATCCTTCACCAAATAATGTATGTCCTCACGAAAAACCCTGCAAGAAGTCAAACTTCAAATTGCTGAGGTTCACAATGCCAATGACTAAAAAGCCCGTAAATCTAAAAGGAACGGGCCGAGTTAGATAATTTAGCAAAGATCAAATGAAGAGAAAAATCGACAAAACCTGTAAAAGTTTTCCCGGTACTGTAGCAATTTTCAGATGACTCGAACTCGAGATATGGAATACGCCGAACGAGGTATGCGCCACTGCGCTAAACCCTCTGCAGGGGTCAATTTGCAACGCAACCAAAGGTTGAGGACCTAATCAGCAGTAGCCCCCAAAGCAAGTAAAAGAATCGCAACATTTACTTAAACGACGTCGTCCAGCTATATAAAACTGTGCGCAACAGCAAAATTCCAGCTGCCAGCTGTCTTGCAATTTTAACCTAGAAAACTTTGAGCTCCTCTCTCTCTCTCTCTCTCTCTCTCCGCCCTCCATCTCTCTCTCTCTAGGTTACCGCCAATCGCCGCCGCCTGGACCCTAACTCCGCCATGGCCTACCAACCTCAATCGCCAAATCAGACCCCCAACACCTCCTCCGATGAGCGAACTTCAAGTCGCCGACTCTACAACCCTTACCAAGATCTGCATCTCCCGGCGCAGACCCTCTACAACATCCCCACCTCGCCGGAGTTCCTCTTCCAAGAGGAGTCCGTCGCGCAGCGCCGATCCTGGGGGGAGAACCTTACCTACTACACCGGCATCGGCTACCTAGCCGGCGCCTCTGCCGGCGCCGCCAAGGGGTTCGCGACCGGAGTCAAGGCGATCGAGCAGACCGACACGATGAAATTGAAGGTCAACCGGATCCTCAACGGGTCGGGCCTCGCGGGCAGGCAGGTCGGCAACAGGTGCGGCGTCATCGGGCTGATGTACGCCGCGCTCGAGAGCGGCATGGTCGCGGTTAGAGACACGGATGACGTCGTCAACAGCGTGGTCGCGGGTCTGGCTACCGGGGCGCTCTACAAGGCGGCGGCGGGGCCGAGGTCCGCCGCCGTGGCTGGGGCCATTGGAGGTGTGCTCGTGGGTCTCGCCGTCACCGGAAAACAGGCTCTGAAACGATATGTGCCGATTTGAGGTGTTAAATTTTAATTTTCTTTTTTCTTTAAGTTGGGATTTGAAAGTTTTGATTTTGCAGGGTGGGGTCTTGTGTGGTTTTCTCGATCAGTTGATTTTACTACAGTTCTATGAAAGGTGCAGTCTTGATATACTAGTTTAGTTTTAATGGTTATCTCATTGAATGTAATTTATGCAGATTGTTGGAAAAATGGGTTTCTGAATAAAAAAATCCAGGAAAACATTGCTCTTGACATCCCGGATTTTTTTGCCGATTTACGGTTGTTCTTTCACTTCCCATTGAGCTCTTTGCTTTCATTTCCCTTCCATCAAGGATGTTTATATTCATGGAGATTAATAATCTTACTTACCACCTTATGGGGTTATTGTTGAATGCTGCTTTATGTGTAGTGATTGTCTTTGAACTTTGAATTTGGAGGTGCTCAAATCTATGTGCTTAGGATTTGGGGATGTTTGGAAAGTAGTCAGTACTACTGAATTGTGTTGTAGTTGTATAATAGAAGTAATTGCACTTGTGGATAGAGTTGATAAGCTTGATTTGACTTTGTATGTGTTCCCAAATTGTGTGAACGATGAGATTTATCTGTCTGGTTTTAACTCTCTAGTTCAAATATTGGGAAATGCTACGGTCCCGTTACGGTACCATCCCGTCTGGTGTTTTAACCGTTGGATCCACATGTAGTTAGATAAGATAGATGATCCAATGGTTAAAACACCCGACAGGATGGTACCATAACGGGATCATAACATTTCCTTCAAACACTTGCTACTAGAGAAAGGAAGTAATTATTCTGGTCTTGTTTTGCATTGTCCCCAATTAGTTTCTTGCTAGGAACTGCTGATAGTATTAATTTTTTTTTTCTCATACTCATGTGAACAGAATTTTCTGCTTATTAACTTGTTTTGATGAGTATCTGAGTGCCCAACCCAGATATATACGGATCGTTGTAGTAGGTATAGCTTTCCTGTTTAGTTCATTGTATTGCATCAAGTGATTTTCTACAATTTCGAATCAGCTGTATCGAAAAACCTCCCGACTATTTTTTTGGTGCCACAAATGAACTATTTTATGGTATATATGTTTGTAAAGACCTTGTGAACTGAAGCAGACACAGATTCTGATTCTATTATGCTTTTGTTTGTTGCTAAATGGATAAGCGGAAATTTGACATGGCCAAACAGAGAACCACGTGCAAAGAAAATATTCAACATATTCAAGGGCCTCCCTTATTCATTTGAGATTTCTAAAAACTTTAGAAATTCTAGGTATTTAATTTAGACACTTTCGTTTGAGATTTCTAAAAACTTTAAGACTTTAGAAATTCTACGTATTTAATTTAGATTTTTAAGACTTTTAAAAGTTACAGGATATATTCATTTCATTTGAGATTTCTAAAAACTTAAAGACTTTAGAAATTCTAGATATTTAGTTTAGATTTTTAAGACTTTTAAAAGTTACGGGATATATTCATTTGAAAATTTCTAAAGAAAAAACCTTATATTAAATTTCACTCAATCTCTATATTCCTCTAAAATCTGAATATCTTAGAAAAGCTTCAAATCTCAAAAAGTCGTATCCCCCCTTGTCTTAAGATCGCATAAATTTGCACAAATAACTCATCTCCGTGGGAGATTGATTCAGGCGAATAGTTATGGAAAAATAGACTACTCAAAATCGTGAAAATATTGCTTCGATTAAAGGTTCAAACGATCAGCAACACGGGCATCAAGAAACTGATTATTCATTCATGCAAATCAAATTCTTCAAAGAATCAAATATTTGCCCCTCAAATTTGGAAGCTGCAAGAGATTGAAGTACACAACTCTGTAGGACAGTTGTGAACAAATGTGTTAATCACGCATACCGCTTGAGCAAGCCATTATTAAAAAAAATTATTCTAAGTACATAGCGAGTGAAAAACATTTCATTGATAAAAATCAAAGTGAAGACGACCAAAAAACTTCAAAACGGGCTCTTCTATGATTGCATCCATCTCTTCATGGGTCTTGATGATCAAACCAGAAGCAAATATCAAAGTTCAAAAACTAACTTAAAGTAACATAGACTCTGGATTCTCGACATAACCCTTAAAGGCCTTCAGCCATTCTGCTCCAATTGCACCTGAACACAACAGGTTCAAAAATTCAAATTCACCAATCAGAGCACGTTGTAGCTCTCCATACACTAAGTAGAAAAAGATAAAGGTAACCGAACAGCACGAATTTGTAGTGGTTACATTCCATATAAGTTGCTAATAAGAATGCCTGGGGAAAGCATTTTTAGAAATGCTTGTTTATTGGTTTATGTAAAACCAGATGCAGAATTGGGAACAGAAGTTTAAACACTAAAAAAAGAGAAGTATATTTTTTTTCTCAGCCAAACGCTGATAACCATATTTCCATTTTTTTTTTCTATTGAATGAAAAAATTAGCTAGAGATGAATTATTTATTGAGTTAGGTGCCAAGGGCAACTTACCATCAATGACCCGGTGGTCGCAACTTAGCGTAACAGTCATGAATGACGCAAATGCATATTGGTCGGGACCGGCACCAGATATCACTCTTTTCTCAGCTGCTCATAGAGAATTAAAATTCTAAGTAAAATGTCGCCCTTATATTTATATATAAAGTGGGGAGCAAAAACTGCAATCAAGAGAGACCCTCGAATTACCAGATCCAACTGCAAGAATGCCCGACTGTGGTGGATTGATGATGGCACAGAATTGCTTGATGCCAAAAGGTCCTCCTAAGTTTGAAACTGTGAACGTACCTCCCTGCAAAAAGGATATGCAAGGAATTGATATCATGAAGAGAAACAAATTTGTTTCAAGAGTTTAATAAACAAATATTTTTATTTCACCTCGTAATCTTCTGGTTTCAAGCTGTTCTCCTTTGCTTTCTGAGCTAAATGCTTAACTTCATCAGATATTTTAGATAAACCTTTCTTGTCTGCGTCCTGCGAATTTTGAGCATAATGAGTTGCAAGACATCAGATTATTTTCTTAACGATAAAAGAACAGTGTATGGTACAGAAAATGACTTACCCGGATTACAGGCACATACAATCCATTTTCTGTTTGCACGGCGACATTAATATTCACATTATGATACCTGGAATGTACATATAATATATAACAATTATACAATAGTCCTGCTTTGATTCAACAACATATAGCTCTGTTAAGTGCACTTACTGGCGAATATAATCATTGGTCCATGAACTATTACATTGAGGAACTTTTCTGAGAGCCAAGGCAGCAGCCTGCAGTCAAATTTGTTATAGAATTTTTGTTAGTGCGAGAAATTTGATTGCTTTAAAACACTATGCTTTATGTAAATGAAAGAGTTGTAATTTTTTCATATGGGTAAATCATGATGTTTAGAAACTAAAAATAGGCCAGTCAAAAACTCTTGAGAAAGTATTTATTTATTTATACATGTACTTCCTTTCTTTTCTCTTTGGGGTGGGGAGGTGGGGTGTGTTGCATGTGCTCTAGTCCACAACTTAACATAAAACGAGGCAGGATATAGAGAGAGAGATTAGAGAACGTATCAAAATATTTCTTACCTTAATCACAAGATCATTAACTGAAATTCGTTTCCCACCTGAAGCTTCTTGTATAGAATTCAGACGGACACGCAATCTGCACAAACAGAAGTTCAGACAAATAAAACATATTTGGGGGTGGTAATTCTCATTTGGTAAAGACTGCACACTTACTCCATAAGCTTGTCCACACATGTATCCACAGTTAGGTAATAGTGAGGGATGGTTTGTTTTGATTGCAACAACCGGGACGCTGTAATCTGTAGCAGTTATTAATTAAGTTAGCTACTATATCAATTCACAATCAGAATTGAGATGCTAAAGTATATTAGTTTGTTGCTGTCTTCAAAATACGCAATAAATGCTAGTCATATATCAATTCACAATCACAATTGAGATGCTAAAGTATATTAATTTTTTGCTATCTTCAAAATATGCAATAATTGCTAGTCATATTACCGACTTCCCTGGTGGAAGTTAAGTATAGCATACCAATGTTCATCATAACTTAGAGCCATAACATCAAAAGAAACCTATGCAACAGCCGAGATACTTCACATATCATAGATATTTAGCGGCCAGCAAGTTGAGAACGAATTAAACTAAACTACTCTTGCACTTATGGAAATGTAATAACAATATTTATAATATTACCTTTCGGATTTGCGAATGTGGGATGTCGACGTAATCTAGAGTTGCCGATGTCGTGTCCACCTTAGGAGCTTGTGATACCTCCTTACCACGTGAAGCTATGGGACAGAAGGAGAAAACGGGTTACTTTAATATATGAGTGTTATAGATAATCAAAAACTATGAAATGCAGCAACCAGAAGGGGAAAAAAACAAAAATACTGATAAATCGAGCAGATGGCCAAACTACATGTAGCCTAAGGGTAGCAAACAACTACCAAGATAATCTTCAATATCAGCTTTCACGATGCGGCCATCAGGACCAGTTCCTTTGATGTTCGAAAGCGATATCTGCATTAAAAGTAATGGGGGAACATAGCAGGGAACAAATCACATAAAAATACATATGTAATAACAAAAAATCCATATGAGAATGTAATGTACATTATGATCTTCAGCAAGTTTCCTGGCAAGAGGACTAGCAAAAATGCGATCTCCAGCTGAAGATGGTGCGCTAGGCTTGGCGACTTTTGGTTCTGGTGAAGCAGCAGGTGCTTCAGCAACTTCTTGTTTAGGCGGAGATGGAGAAGAGGGTGCCTTGGGCGCGGGTGTGGGAGTAGCATCTGATGTTGGAGTGTAGTCTTTTAATTTTGCAACATCGTCTTCTTCTTCAACAGTTATGGCAATTATCTGTCCACATGGTACATTTGATCAGTCAGTATTAGTTACATAAAGTAATTTAAATGAGATTCAAATATTAGAACATTAACTCTATACATATCCAAAATTGACATTTGTAGGCCATTATTCAATTCATTTATCAGAAGCAGTTAACAAGTTAAAATTTGTACCAGATAACCAATCTTATTCATTTACACAAGTAGAAACTATCAATAATTCTGGTGTAACTTGTATGTGTTACAGAGTATTATAAAGTAAACTGTTTTCAATAGCATAGATAACAATTTAGTCACCTAATTAAGAAAAAGAAAATCTCGACTTGAACCAGCTGAAATCAGATATTCTAACATCCAATGTCAAAAAAACAGTGGGATTATAGAATGAAATAAAAGTCATATAAGTGAACACCATTAAGCAAACACGCATAGCTGAAAAGGGCATCACAAGGAGATCAATCTAAATTAATCAATCAGGTAGTTTTATTAATGGACCTGATCTATCCTACATATGTTAATACATCGTACTACTGTGAAATAAGAAAACTTCATTCAGATGAGTACTACCTCACCAACTTTGATCCCACTTGATCCATCCCCGCGCAAAATTTTTGCTAGATATCCTTCCTCCATGCACTCCATTTCCACTGTGGCTTTGTCCTTAAGTCATCAAGCGGCATAAAAGAGAAAGAAATTAGACGTATGGTACTCCTTCAATCAAAATAAGATCATCCAAAGACACACTCACTCATACACACATAGGGAAAAAGAAAATAAAACAAGAACTAGAACAAAGACCCACAGTTTCCACTTCACACAGAA